CCTTCAGTAGTTATTGAGATAACACCTTACAAGCAAAACTTTACCATGAATTTCTAAGTTGAAAAAGGGGAGAAAAATCAGCCTAAATGCATGATAGAATTATGGCTCTTTGTCAGTGACCTACAATTATGACCCTAAATGCATATGTGAAGTTTTAAATAAATATCTTTAATAGTTATTGAATATGTAAAACTTGCATGTAAACATTAACCAAGAGACTATTATTATATTATTAGTAAAAAAGGGGATATGAATCAGCCTTAATGCAAGATAGAATTATGGAACTTGGTCAGTGACATACAATTATGACTGTAAGTGGATGTGTAAAGTTTCATGTAAATATCTTTGAAGACCTTTAACCTTTAACCAAAATTTCTAAGTTTCAAAGGGGCAAATAATTCTGCAAATATTGTAGGCAGAGTTATGCAATTTTGCAAACTGGTGTACATTGTTACTATAAAAAAGTATTTTAAAATTCAATTGAATATCTCAAGCAATAATTGAGATATTTGACTTTACAAAAAACTTTAACCAAAATTTCTAAGTTAAAAAGGGGCATAATTCTGTCAATATTGTAGGCAGAGTTATCCAACTTGTCAATCTGATGTACCTTGTTACTATAAATAAGTATTGTAAGTTTCAATTGAATATCTCAAGTAATAATTGAGATATTTGACTTTACAAAAAACTTTAACCAAAATTTCTAAGTTAAAAAGGGGCATAATTCTGTCAATATTGTAGGCAGAGTTATCCAACTTGTTAATCTGATGAACCTTGTTACTATAAATAAGTATTGTAAGTTTCAATTGAATATCTCAAGCAATAATTGAGATATTTGACTTTACAAAAAACTTTAACCAAAATTTCTAAGTTAAAAAGGGGCATAATTCAGTCAATATTGTAGGCAGAGTTATCCAACTTGTCAATCTGATGTACCTTGTTACTATAAATAAGTATTGTAAGTTTCAATTGAATATCTCAAGTAGTAATTGAGATATTTGACTTTACAAAAAACTTTAACCAACGCAGACGCCGACGCGGACGCTGACGCCGACGCCGGGGCGACTACAATAGCTCTCATATTCTTCGAATATCTCAAGCAATAATTGAGATATTTGACTTTACAAAAAACTTTAACCAAAATTTCTAAGTTAAAAAGGGGCATAATTCTGTCAATATTGTAGGCAGAGTTATCCAACTTGTCAATCTGATGTACCTTGTTACTATAAATAAGTATTGTAAGTTTCAATTGAATATCTCAAGTAATAATTGAGATATTTGACTTTACAAAAAACTTTAACCAAAATTTCTAAGTTAAAAAGGGGCATAATTCTGTCAATATTGTAGGCAGAGTTATCCAACTTGTTAATCTGATGAACCTTGTTACTATAAATAAGTATTGTAAGTTTCAATTGAATATCTCAAGCAATAATTGAGATATTTGACTTTACAAAAAACTTTAACCAAAATTTCTAAGTTAAAAAGGGGCATAATTCTGTCAATATTGTAGGCAGAGTTATCCAACTTGTCAATCTGATGTACCTTGTTACTATAAATAAGTATTGTAAGTTTCAATTGAATATCTCAAGTAATAATTGAGATATTTGACTTTACAAAAAACTTTAACCAACGCAGACGCCGACGCGGACGCTGACGCCGACGCCGACGCCGGGGCGACTACAATAGCTCTCATATTCTTCGAATAGTCGAGCTAAAAACTACCGAAAACGTCTTTAAGATGACATATAATGAACAAAATTAAGTTCAGGAGACAAAAGGTCAAATTCATATTTGAATGTCCAAAGTCTGACATGATATGGTAATGCATTGACAGTCATGTCCAGTCAATATATTTGTCATTCATTGACATATTTTATATGTTCTGGTTTAAATTTGTTATGAGTACAAGCATGTTTGAAGCTTAAAGATCAAAGGTTTAACTAAGACTATAAGGTATAATTTCATAAAAGTACATAAATAGTCAGATCTGGTCATTTTGTCCTTCATTAATAGAATTCAAGATAACAAGGTATATTATTGTGACACATTAGGAAAACTTGTCACACACAAACATCAAGTAAACAGCTAGAAATATGAAAGTTATATATATATATATATATATATATATATAATATATATATGGTTTTCAAAACAGTACATTGTGTCTAGTCATATCTTTGACATTAATTCATGGATGATTATTGAAATAATTGGGCACATATTTATTGAGAATATGAGAAATTATTTGTTAATATTTCTCTATTGTTGTAACACTCTTTATATAGCAATCATGTCTTTGTTGAAAGTCAAAGGCCTGTCAATGAGATTTCTAAAATGAGGATGGACAGACAGACAAATGAAAAGACAAAACAGAGGATAAACCTAAAGTTTCCTCTGGTTAAACCGGGAGGAAACTAAAAACACTGTAATTCTGGCATCACACCTATCCTGCCACCCCTACTATTACAATAGTATGTTAACTTATAAACTTACCTGTTATCCCTCAAGATTAATGGTATCTTCCCGACAAGCAATACAGCCTCAAGATTAATGGTCAAAATCTTCCCGACAAGCAATACAGCCTGAACTTGATTTTCTAAATAATTAGTCTGTTAATCTCTGTTCATATGAAAATAAAACAAAGGACAATAAATCAATAATATAAGCCACCTTAATTCTCATAAATGTTAAACCTTAACAAGCAATTATCTTAGTATTGCAAGCAATCCATAAGTCCCCTACCGGTTCGAACCCCATCAACATTCTGAAGGGCCATTGGCCATTCACTAATGTTTCAATTTTTCTCTATTGGAAAAGTTCTTTAAAAGTGATCACAGGATACAGTTTTTATGAACAGACAGACAGACGGACTGAAAGACACTCTAAAGTTAATATTTGAAACATCCCTGTTACCAAAATATACCATTTTAAAAGCAAAATTCTTAAAGAGGAGATAACTCTTGAATTAAAGATGCAATTTTATAAAAATGTTCAGCTCTTTTTGACTAATCACAAATATTGTTATATTTGCAATGTTTTAAGCCTATTTGTTGCCAAGGCAACTGATATTTTTTCAAAATAGGAAGAACAGATAAGGCATGCATAATCTCAAGACTGCTATCTACCAATATGTCAAGTTTCATAAAAATATTTCCAGTACTTTTTAAGTTATCACTGGATTCAGTTTATGTGTAAAATTTGCCATATTTTCAGTCTATGTGTTGCCATAGCAACCAGAATTTTCAACATAGGAAGAAACGAAAATAACGTGCATAATTTCAAGACTGCCATCTACCCATATGTAAAGTTTCATAAAAATATTTCCAGTACTTTTTGCTTTATCACTGGATCCAGTTTATGTGTAAAATTTGCCATATTTTCAGCCTATTTGTTTCCATAGCAACCAGAATTTTCAACATAGGAAGAAAAGAAAAAGATGTGCATAATCTCCATACTGCCATCTATCCATATACCAAGTTTCATAAAAATATTTTCAGTACTTTTCAAGTTATCGCGGGATCCAGTTTTGCGGACGGACTGACAGACTGACAGACAGACGGACGGACGGACGGACAGACGGACAGAGGGTAAACCTAAAGTCCCCTCCGGTAAACCGGTAGGGGACTAAAAATGTTTCTTACTGAATAGGTGTAATGGATATGCCCAGCTTTAAATTTGGAATAGTCCACTCAATGTTAAAGGGATATAAAATACAAATATTGAGCTACCAACAGTATAGATATTAATATATAGAGGAAATATAAGTTTGTTATATAAATACTGGATTTGTTTTCATCAACTGTTATAAAAGAAAAAGTATTTCATGAGTGGTTGAAGTAACGAGTAAAATGTGATTATTTTCATACCACAAAAAAAGAAAATTAATATACAGTGGAGCCTTGCTAATCCGAACCCTTCTAATCCGGAATCCTTTCTTATCCGAACGAAGTGTCCGGTCCCGATTTTATTCGTTCTATTTTCAATAGTAAAAAACCTTTCGGATCCGGAACCTGTCTACTCCGAATTCCGGACGATTTTTTCAATTTTTGTTCTTATTTTACTCTAAAATTTACCTCTCGGATCCGAACAGATTTTGCCAAATGTCACACCTTCATTCAAAATAACAAATAATCGCACATCTTGCAGGTGTAAACATACACCAAACTGATGTGTTATTTCACTTGATTAATGGGTGAAACGTATGATCTGCGAAGGTGTGAAAATTACACTTAGCTTGCCTTCATATCTTCTATAATTGCTTAATTGATTGTTTTTCGTCACCTTCAATAAATATTTTGATATAATGCAATAAAAATATCTTTTAATCCTTTGTAATGGATTCAATGATACGTGATTAAGCAATGAAAATTAATAGAAACTGTCAGTGAATTCGGATAGTCGCTGAATCGGATAAGAGTAAACAACAATTGACAAATGCTGGTACGAATATTTAATTATGTCTCCGTCTCCTGTTTAACATCGTAGGTTAACTTACCCTTGAGGACATAATATTTTTTTTTTTGCTTATTTATTTATTTTCATTTCTTTATTTTTGTATTCACATGTATTAGAATGAACGATAAGAGACTGCAAAAATAAAATATCTAAATTGCAATTTCAAATTCATTCCCGTTTTCTTTCCCTAAACTATTTTGCAAATACATGTAACATGAAAAAATATGTAAAAGAACCTTCTAATTCGGAAACCTTTCTAATCCGGAAACCTTTCTAATCCGAACTTTTCTTCTGGTCCGGACGAGTTCGGATTAGACAGGTTCCACTGTATAAACATTTGATATCTTAATCTTAAATTCAAAAGAATTCCATTTTAATTTTGTGTATCGATTGGCTAATTTAGAAGAAAGTAGTCTTGCAAGATAACAATGAAAATACAGAAAATATGTACCATTGCATTTAAGTCCTCAATATTTCATTTATTAGTACATGTATATAATAAACCAGATATATACATGTATGTAAAAGATCAGCAAAATAATTACATGGCCCAGTTCCTGGCTGCTGCTTCACCAATACTGTCATATGAACCTATAGCATTGACAGACTTGTACTATTTTCCAACCTTGTTCAAGAATAAATCTATCTCATTCTGGTAATTTCTTAACTGAAAATAAAAATACAAAATGAGGAAAAAATAATGAAATTAGTTCATACAGTAGATAAATAAATGAAAGAGAAAATAATCACAATGTTTACAATATCCTGTAGATAAGACACCTTGTTATAGTGTATATACATGTACTAACTGACTGTACATAAAATTTGTCAGAGTATTCAGACTTGTCAAAGGGACATTGAGATATTATTTTGAATGCGGGATGTATTTTTTCACAACAACAGTTTGGCAGTAGGAAAACAAGTTAGTTAAACAGGTCAAAACTTTCATGCTTAATTAATTAGGCTTACATATTATATACAAACTAGAAATGTGTCCATAGGACACGAGTGCCCCCACACTCCACGGATTTGTCAACCTTATGTCTTTAGGTCAAATTTTTTTTTGGCTACATGTGCCCAAACTGAAAACTAAAAATCTTAAATTAAGTAAAGGGCAAACACTACTTATACTGAATAAATCCACAAGAAAACCCCAAGGTGCATAAGTACCCATGCTGACCAACATTCTTGTAAACTTTCAGGCCTACAGGTCAAAAACTTTTTGAGTAATGTGCAACACAAGTTAAATATTGTAAATTTTTACTAAGTCAAGGGCAATAACTCATACCCAGGTGCATAACTACACATGCTAAGCAACATTCTTGTAAGGTTTCATGACTGTAGGTCAACTATTTTTTGAGTTACGTGTGACACAAGTTGCAAAATTTTACTTAGTCAAGGGCAATAACTCTACAATACTAAAAATATCCCCACATAAATACCCAGGTGCATAATTACACATGCTGAACAACATTCTAGTAAGGTTTCATGACTGTAGGTCAACTTTTTTTTTTTTTGAGTTACTTGCGACTCAAGTTGAAAATTGAAAATTTTTACTAAGTCAAGGGCAATAACTCTAAAATACTAAAAATATCCACACAAAAATACCAAGGTGCACAACTACACATGCTGAACAACATTCTTGTAAGGTTTCATGACTGTAGGTGAACCATTTTTTTTGAGTTACTTGCGACACAAGTTGAAAATTGAAAATTTTTACTAAGTCAAGGGCAATAACTCTAAAATACTCAAAATATCCACACAAAAATACCCAGGTGCACAACTACACATGCTGAGCAGCATTCTTGTTAGGTTTCGTGATTCTACGTCAAATACTTTTTAGTAACGTGCGACACAAGTTGAAAATAGGAAATTTTTACTAAGTCGAGGACAATAACTCTACAAATACTAAAAATAAAATATCCACATGCAAATACCCAGGTGCACAACTACACATGCTAAGCAACATTAGGTCAAATATTTTTTTAGTAACATGCGACACTAGTTGAAAATTGGAAATTTTTACTAAGTCAAGGGCAATAAATCTAAAAATACTAAATATATTGGCAAGAAAATACCCAGGTGCACAACTACACATGCTGATCAACATTCCTGTAAGGTTTCATGACTCTAGGTCAATTACTTTTTGAGCTAAGTGCCACACAAAAAGGGAACGGACGGACGGAAGAGGGATGGAAGGATGGATGGACGGACGGACAAGGGTAAATGTAAATGCCCCACCCCTATAGTGGGGGCACAATAAACCAGGGCTACAATGTAAAGATATCAAAAATAACTTAAAAAAACTTTTTTATATTAGATGGTTAATGCACCAATACCTTAAAACGTAATGATCAAGGCTGAAGTTTGCAGACAGGAATGCCATGCACCATGACTATAACAATACCCCTATTTTTTTTTTTCTTTTGAAAAAAAGTTGAGCTAAAAATGGAATTAATAAGAAATACAAGTTTATCTAGTATAATATATGTTCACTCACTGATGAATGAATAAAGAAATCAATTTTCTGTTTAGGATAATCTAATGCTGCAATCTTCTGTAAGGCTTCTCTAAGAAACGGTGTTGGATGCTCCACAAACACTCCCAATACAATAGATGGATAATCCTCTTCATTTAAATAAATAGTCACAAAATATTATATTTACATTTTTCTATAAATCATTTTAATAACATTAATCACTCTAGTTGCATTATTTTTCTATTTATCACTACAGGGCCCTCAATCCAATTTGGGGGAAGTGCAGGGCCAGCAAAATCTGATTTTGACTTACTTGTCCGTTTCTAAGTGAACCATTTTTTAACTTGTCCGTATGATATTTACATAGTTAATTCTTGAAAATTTTCACTTGTCCGTACAGGCTGTGGGACAACCTGGGAAATACGGACAATTGATTTTGCCGGCCCTGAAGTGGGTCGCTACCATCACCAGAGGGAATTTTAGTGTATGGGGGGAATTTTCCTCTTTTCTTTTATGATCAAATATCAAATAAACTTACTTATATAAATATAATAAGATTTTTTTTTTACATGCATATTATTTTTTTTTAATAAATCCCAAAATAGGTAACACTGAACTAGCTGTTCAGAAGTAATTGATAAGATTTGAAGAAAAGTTTTTAACACCTTACACCATCAGACCTTTATGCTGCTTAGCCTTTCTTTATGATTCACAAATCGAACCCACCCCTTACATGAGCATTCGAGAAACACATTCAGACAAATATCTCCATTTCCACTAATATGAACAATACATGGACCTAAAGTAAATTCTATTCATAAACTACATTTTCTAAGATAAAGAAAAAGACAAAGCAAATTCCTTTCTTGACTTTGTAAAAACAATCGTAAAAATTGGCATTGCGAAATATGTGACAAATGATTTTTTTTTTTTCTGTTTACACATCCACATTTCTAGTTGTTGATAATGTAAATTATATAAAATTTGAATTTATTTGTTTATTATAAGATCGTTTTCGATTAGTTATTTCATCAAGTATCATTTGAAAACAAAACTTTACAAGTTTGTAATTTACGACAAAATTTACCGTGGTTGATGTAACATTTTGAAGACAAAAAAAAAAATAAATGATTTCATGAATAAATAATTTGAAATCAAATTGTTGATGGGAATTTGTGATTTTTTTTTCTGCATATTTCTGTTTAAAATTTTAGCCCTTTTACCAGGATAAAAAAGGCCAATATGTGATGGTAGATTTGGAGGGGGGGGGTGGGGGGTTTTCTATGTTTTCATGGTTGTTTTTGAAAAAGTAAAATCATCTTTGGGGGGAATATTGTATACAGTACATGTCCTGCACGGTTTGTTCTCGACCGTCTCTTCCGGAACAAACGGAAACGATGCAGACATGTACTGTATACAATATTCCCCTTTATGAAATAGTCGTCAAAACAGATGGATTTTACTTTTCAAAAACAACATGAGTTTTCATTTTTTTTTTCTTTAAAACTTTATATGTTTTGAAGGGGGAATTTTACCTCTGTTAGGGGGAACAAACATACCATTTTCGGTGGGGGACTGCGGGCCCTATTAGATTTGGTTGATCGAGGGCCCTGCAACTACTTTTTTCTATATATACATGTACAATATCACTCTAAATGACATTTTTTTTCTTTTTATCACTCTGGTTTTTTGCATTTATTCTATATCACTCTAATTTCAGTTTTTTTCTTTTTATCACTCTGGTTACATTTTTTTTGTTTGGGTCGTCAGACCAAACAAATAATGGTAGCGAAATTTCAGACTCTAATGTTGTTAATTGCAAGTGTCGAAAAGTAGTCCGACTTTTTTTAAGGGGTTACTTCCCTTTATATGTCACTCTAGGCCGAAAAATTTAGGGGAGATCACTGCGTAAATATGGTCACATGACAGGCGGATTAATTTTCAAGCAAAATAATTCCCGAATGGTCGAAGATTTCTAATATTGTTTTATTCTTTATAGATATACATGCTTATAGTAAGCGCCATGATTATTTACACAAATGTTAAACAACAGTTAGCGTCGTTACAAACCATAACTAGAAATAATATGGTTTTCTTCAGGCCGTTTAACATGTAAAAACCACCGTGGCCGAGAGGGGTTTGCGCGCTCGCTTAGGAAGCGAGAGGTCTGGAGTTCAAATCCTAGTTAAGGCAACTCATTTTTTTTTCAAAAAATGTTTAAGTCAAATAAACATTGGATCAAATATCAGTGTTGCTTGCAATAAAGTCTTATAGCCAATCTACTAACAATTAAAACGCTGTAAAGCATTGGTGGCACTATACAAAAACAAATTGTTTTATAATCTCACAACCTTCACCTTTCTGCCATTCTGAGACCCAAACAATTCAGCGTTCTTCCTGTGCTTTGATTTCTATATGCCAGAATTAAATACATTTTTTTTTCTTTTGATATTTCTATTTATAGCTATAGTGGCCGCTAAAAAAGGGGCCAATCAAATTAATATGAGCACACTTGACAAAAGACTACCCCCAAGAATGCTACAGACAAAGTTTTGGGTGATCGTCCATCTATTAGTTTTTTGTAGTAGAAGATGTCTAAAGGGTTTTTTTTTTTTTTTAGCTCTGGGGTTGACCCCTAAAAGGGTCGCAATTTGAAATGACATTTGAGCAAATTTAAGTTTGACTGTCACATACATGCTACAGACCAAAAATTTTAGGTAAATCTGCCCAGCAGTTTCAGAGAAGAAGATGATTGTTGGCGCATGACGCCGGACGCCGGAAGTATCTCCCTTTGATACTAATAGTTTACCTCGAGCCTTCGACAGCAGTGAATATTATAGCTGGACTTTTTGCTTTGATTTGACTCTAATTTTTCGAAAATATCGTCCGGAATTCAGAATTTAGAAGTTCCGGAATTCAGAAGTATTATATTAATAGAAAATAGAAGGGAAAAATCGGGACCGAAAAAATTGTTCGGTTTTTAGAAGTTTCCGGATTTCAGAAGTTCCGGAATTCGGAAGTTACACTGTATATATTTTTTAATTTTACCCATGAAATATATTGCTATATCAGTCAATATATATTTCATATTTTTTTAAAATAAATATTGAAAAAAAAATTA